AGAATCCAGACATCCAATTCTGAACTTATAAGAATGTAAAAAATCGTGACTTATTTTGGGTTAAAACATCGGAAGAAGCTAATAATTTGCATAAGTTTGTCATTTCAGCACTAAAACTGAGACAATTTATTACAGAAGTGTAACGTAATTTCAATTCCATTAAAGACAAAAAGTAATATTATGTCCATTTATTTATTTTTTAATTTTATTTACTCTTACGTTACTTTTCAGCAAACAGTACCTAGAATGACTTGTGTTATTTTCTCATTTTTAATCCTCTTCACCTATTGCCGAGTAGTATTATGATTATTTGTGGTTACTAGTTGTTTTTTTTTTTTTTTTTTTTTTTTTTGGTGCCGGTGTTTTTGAAGAAAAGCCCATTTGTAACGCAGGGCCGCTGGATTCGAACCCCGGACCTTTACCTTACAGTGATGAGCGCCGTGTCAACGTCTAAACCGTTGCGGCCACCGACGCCCCTAATTACTAGTATTAAAATATGTATTGTTTTTTATTAAAATTAACTTCTCTTACTTATATTTTTATATTTCTCTATACAGATCTGTAATAATAGAAGTGACTTTATCTGTTAAGGTTGTATTTCCTATGTACAGATTATTTATAAAATAAAATAAAAAATAACTACTTAATGCACATTTTACAAATTCATAATTTAAAATAGAAAAATTAAACGAGTATAAATGAAAACAGAACTCATACTAGTTTTTTAAACCGTCCCTTATCATCCAGGTCCACTTTTTCGTGATTAAATATTTCAATCGTGCCATTCGGCATTTTGCCACGTCGAAATATCCAATTCTCAGCAGGTCCAACGAGACTAAACAACTTAAATTGTGTTGTTTTTACGTAATGTAAAGATTTGCTTAGAGGATAGCCAGGCTAGAAGGAAGATTGATCGGTTTGTTTTGGATACTGAATAGCAAGTACCCTTTAGGAGGGTGGCCAAGGAAGTCGAAACAATTAACCCTTGCAAATGCAAACAGATCTGTTCGCATATTGTGCATTTTTGTTCAACTATAACAGATTGAACGACGGAAAATTAAGAATTTGTAAAAATTAATTTTCATAAACTATTAATCCTTAAACCTTTATGGAAATACATAAACTTTGGTCTCAAGATTTGTTTACAAATCTGAATAGCTCCTAAACGAAGCATTCTACAAAAATTATGCTTTGGATAAAACATTGTTTAATAAATCCTAGATCCAAGTATCGTCATCGAAAGTATACCTTCAAATTAAAAAAAAGTCACTCCCTCCTTGGGACCTTACGTCTAATAAATTTTTGACTTTACATTCTACGTACAAAATTATTTAAAGACACGTCATCAATTTCTTTAATTAATTCCAATAGAAAGAATAAAATGAGGTAGTTCGTAAACAATCACCCAGTAAATCTTCCAGATCAGTCACGTTTTTGGTTGCTTTGCTCTCTGATCGTATGAGAGTTTTATTGCTAGTAAACTCTTTTACTTGGAGCTTTCCTTAATTTTTCTTGCAGAACTAGTGAATATAAGTTTTTTATGTTTAATGTTCCTAATTGAAGACCAGGTGCAAACTGCTAATGACGGCTAAGGCCTTTGATCATGTTTTTTATACACTACAAAAATTATGCTTTACGACAAACATTGCTTAAAAAATCCTAGAATCGAGTTACGTCATCGAAAGTGTACCTTCAAATTAAAAAAAGTTACCCTTAATAGAGACCTTACGCCTAATAAATTTTTGACTTTAAATTCAGATTCTATTAATTTTCAGATTTAATTAATTCCAATAGAAAGAATAAAAGGAGATAGTTCTTACATAATCATGTAGTAAATCTTCCAGATCTTCCTCAGGCAGGTTTGTCTGCCTGATCATTAAAAATGATTCCTTTATACATTGGCACCCTCAATATAATGAGGTTGTTATGTTTCACTACGTTTTGAAAATGTTTGATGTATTCATTTTGGATCTGACCTGGTCACGTTTCTGGTTGCTTTGCTCTCTGATCGTATGAGAATTTTATTGCTAGTAAATTCTTTTACTTGGAGCTTTCCTTAATTTTTCTAGCAGAACTAGTGAATAATAAGTTTTTTATGTTTAATGTTCGTAATTGCCTTTTGATGACCAGGTGCGAACTGCTTATGAAGCCTGAGGCCTTAGATTATTTTTCTTTTTTTCACTAGCAAAAATTAAGATTTGAATTGAGATATACACCTAAATATTTAACAGCCTTTGATCTTGTTATTGAAGAGTTGTCTTACATCACTGTTTATGGTCTTTCAACGCCGAGTAAACCATATTGTAACAGGAAAATTTTGAAGTAGTAGGAAATTATGATGTTCACAGGACGGAATACATCTTGTAATTTGAGGTTTTTTAAATAATTATTCAGAAATCGTGAGATGCGGTCTGGTGTGATGTAGGTTTCAGAAAAACATTCTCTTTATCTTGCCAACGTTTCGATCTTTATTGAGATCATCTTCAGGCCTGGGATTTACAAACATTGTTTTCATTTAATAAATACATTTTGGATGTGGAAAAAAGTGAATTTATACAATGCAAAAAATATATTTTTTATATTCAATCAAAGTATTTCTAAATTTAAACAATGTTTGTAAATCCCAGGCCCTGAAGATGATCTCAATAAAGATCGAAACGTTGGCACGATAAAGAAAATGTTTTTCTGAAACCTACATCACACCAGACCGCATCTCACGATTTCTGAATAATTATCGATTAACGGTCACTAATCACCACACATATTATTTAAATATTTATATTATATACTGTATAGTCTTGAGGGGAGTCGCAAACTATTGTTGGTCTTCCAGTTTTCTGCAAGGTGGTCCTGATTGTAGGGATGGCTTTTACCGGACGTGGATTGTGCTAGTGGGTTGGGGTGAGTGGATAGTTTGTCGTGGAATTGGATGAATTTGGACGGGATTAATTTATTTGCAAAGGGTATTTTGAGGTCATTGGAGGGTGGCGTTGGAGATATAGTAAGGAGCGTTAACTATAATTCAAAGGACTTTGGATTGGAAGGATGTTAGTAGGTTTAGCGGTGCCCCACACTTCTAGTCCGTATGTCCAAATCGGTTTCAGTACAGGAACGGAATTAAAGATGTTAGTAAGGAAAACGAGGGCTTTTTTATTGGTACCGAATGATTTGACACGTAATCAAATCAAATCCTGATAGGGGGAGGTCAGGAGGAATAAGGTATTTTTAATGATAATGGTAGTGCCTCCGTGACAAACCGCGTCACTTGGTGGTCTGTCCAGTAGGATGTAAAAATGTGATCTACCGGTAATGTGCGTCTCGGTGATAAGTGCAATGTCAATTCGTCTGTGGTGAATCAGTGCGTCACGTCTTTGAAGGCCAGCTCTTTAGCATTCAAAAGAAATATTGACAGTGATTTTTGGTTTAAGAAGCTCATTTGGATGTTCGAGGAAGGAGATTGGAAACTACTGAGGTAGAAGAGAAATGAGGGGATTTATGGTATTCTTTGATCACTCAAGAAGAATGTGAAGTGATGTCATGTGTAAGAGGAGGTGCCGACTGAAACGCCATTCGTGGCTTGAGCGTATAAAAATTAATAAAATGAATGTGAATGATATTGATTTATTGTAGTAATGAAGGCGCCTGTTTAAGAAAAAATGCTAAACCGGCAATGTCTTCTCGTATTGCGTATCGTACCGTTCGAGCTGTAGGGCGCGTAGAGATGTAAAAAAGCTAATAACTTTCCAAATTTCAGGATGAAGACGAACAAAAGTTGGCGAGTGAGTATGATTGCCTTAGTCGAAGCTTTTATCCGCCTACGTAGGAGGAAGGGGAAGTCGCTTTTCAACGAGCCGATCTTATTTGGGAAAGCCAGGATGTCATAACGTCGAAGATTGACAGCCGCTTGCCAGGCTTTCCGCTCCGGCCAATCCATCACTCGAAAGGATAACTTTTGAAAAACCTGCATTCTTCGCTAATTGCTCGCCGATATAGTTCGCAGTATCGTTAATCAGCCTGACGGGGGAAATGGCTTTTTTTTCGATTCTGGAACTGCCAAACTGGGCGATTAATATTCTGATGCTTACACAATAGGGGAAATTCAATTTTAATATCTTACTGCTATCAGATCAACTTTATCAAGTTTATGTTGCTTTTTGTATTGTCTTTTGTAATTTTGCAATTACATAAATACAAAATTGTATAGCAATTCTTTTCACGATTTTTTAAATCTAGATCGTTGGTTTTGTTGAATTTAACCTCCAATTATTTTTTATGCCAAATAATTTATTATTTATGCATTTCGGGCCACGTCCTTGGTCCCACTTCAGAGATGTTATTTGGGCTAAATAGAAATTTTATTAGATTTATTTTGCCCAAATAACAGCGATGAAGTTTGACCAGGGACGTGGCCCGAAATACATAAGCGAATAAAATATTTGGAACAAAAAATCGAACTCCAATTATTGTTTATGACAAATATTTTATTCGCTTATGCATTTCGGGCCAAGTACTTGGTCCCACTTAAGTGCTGTTACATGGGCTAAATGAAACTAATAATACTTTTATTTAGCCCAAATAACATCTGTGCAGTGAGACCAGGGACGTGGTCCAAAAGGCATAAGCAAACAAAATATTTGGCATAAAAAATAATTGGAGTTTTAGTTCAACTCAACGAATGACCTAGGTTGTGAAATCCCAAAACGAGGAAACGAAAGAAAGGAAAAATGGGTGAAAGTAAATCAAATTGAAAATGCCATTGGTCACCAGAGCAAGAGAAAAGAGAAATAGAGCTAGGAAAACCACAAAAGAGCAGCAAGAAAGGAAAAGAGAAAAATGAGAGGGATAGAAAGAGAAACGAAGCGCTCTCTCTTTCTTTCTCAGATACATACAGAGAGAGAGAGAGAGAGAGAGAGAGAGAGAGAGAGAGAGAGAGAGAGAGAGAACAGACAGATGGATAAATAGATAAAAGAATTCAACAGAAGACATAGAAAAAACAGACCAAAAGAAGAAAAGAGAACGAGCAAGCATGAAGTGTGACAAAGCAAGGAGAAATAATCAAGTGAAATATTTGAGAGAGAGAAACATATCTGAACAACGAAGAAAATCCTGAAAGGGAAAATAGGCGAAAGTTAAATAAACGAGAAAAAATGATGGTAAGAGTGCACGCGAGAAAGGGGTAGAGAAGAAAAAAATAAAAATAAATAGATAGTAAATAGATAGACAGATAGAATGAGAGAGAGTAAAAGAGAGAGAGAGAGAGAGAGAGAGAGAGAGAGAGAGAGAGGGAGAGAGAGAGGGAGAGAGAGAGGGAGAGAGAGAGAACAGAAAGATGGATAAATAGATAAAGAAATTCAACAGAAGACATAGAAAAAACAGACCAAAAGAAGAAAAGAGAACGAGTAAGCATGAAGTGTGATAAAGCAAGGAGAAATAATCAAGTGATATATTTGAGAGAGAGAAACATATCTGAAAAACGAAGAAAATCCTGAAAGGGAAAATAGGCGAACGTTAAATAAACGAGAAAAAATTATGATAAGACTGAACGCGAGAAAGGGGTAAAGAAGAAAAAAATAAAAATAAATAGATAGTAAATAGATAGATAGATAGAATGAGTGAAAGAGAGAGAGAGAGAGTGAGAGAGAGAGAAACTGAAAATCGGATAAATGAATAGAGAAATGTAATAGTAAAAGAAAACAGTAAGAGCATAAGAACAAAGAGAGTAATTAAGAGAATGGCTGACTATTGAGTGCTGTTTTATTTAGTCCCCGAATTTGGTCACATACTGATCACTCTTACAATCAATGAGAAAGATATAGATAGAGAGAGAGAGAGAAAGAGAGAGAAAAAGAGAGAGAGAGGAGAGAGAGAGCGAGACATAGATAGATAGATAGATAGATAGATAGAGGGAGAGAGAGAGAGAGAGTGAGAGAGAGAACTTAAGTTGGATTGACTTTTTAGCTACTGGTTATCGAAAAAAAATTCTCCTAATGATTCATTTACGTAACTGCTTTCTCAATGTTTGACTATAGATTAAACCATTTGTACTTTTACAGTGCTTAGAAAAGCATTCCAAATGTTCGACACCACCAAATGCGGCTTTATAGACACTTGCAAGATCTCGACAATTCTGAACACGATGGGCCAGCTGTTCGAAGACGCAGAGCTCAGCCGGATCATCGAGGAGGTCGACGTCGAAGGTAAGCCGCGTCGAAAAAAATAAATAAATATAATTAAAATAAAAAACACGCTAATTTCAGTTGGGTAAAAGGCGTGACAAACTCATTTCCCGAGTATTCGCCCATTCAAAAATAGAACCGACGGTCACAGATGCGTGCTAACGCCCCAAATAATTATTTGTTTACAGAGTGCCCTGAAGTATTTGGATGTTGGCCAGGTATGACTTATGCCCCGTTCGTAAAATACATTAGATCACTCGATACGGTCTGTTTCAACAATTAAACAATTCATTTAAAATAAAAAACATTTTTAGACGATTCACATTGCCAAACGTGCAATACAGCACTACTGTATCTGGGAAGAGCATATATTTTTCAGTTTTACACTGTTTCTTTGTTTTTTGTAGTTCACCTTTTTTTATAAAGCAATCGTCAACCTTAAGCTGAAGGTAACCACAAGGAGTTACAACATCCACTATAATATTAAGGCGGTTTCGGATGATGTAAAATTTATTGCCGAGCCTTGCCGCAGTTCCCCGGGTACAATTAACTTCCTGACTTACAAGATGCCACGTATAAGAGCAGGATTAGTCAGACAACACAAAAGGAATTAATAACGGAGAACATTCAATACCGAGAACAATCATGCTTGAATATAAATACGGCGAATTTTCTGCAATGGAATTCAAAGGCTTTAATCATTAATTGTTGATAATTATATCCGTTTTGTTTTTTATTTTTCTTAAGATTCATTAATTTTTCTGGAAATTAGCAATTTACTATTATTTAGCCAATAATGCATACGCTAGATGCAAGATCAGGAAGGCAGAACTAATTTTTACCCGGTCTGTAATGAAGCATGGGACTGAATATAACAAATCTCCACCAAATCTGAAGTTATGTCGAATGTTTAAATGTCTTTTTAATATGGATATGGGCTGAATACATATTTTTTGCGTGACCATTTTGGTGTTATCAATTCGGAAATACGCAAGGGGTGGTTTTGGTTTGGTTGTGTTTTGCTAGGTTAAAGTTAAGGATTATTTGGAGACCGGGAGATGCGGTCTGATGTGACGTAGGTTTTAGAGAAACGTTTTCTTTATCGTGCCAACGTTTCGATCTTTATTGAGATCATCTTCAGGGCTCAAAGTGTTTGTTTCCTGTGTAGATATGTCATTCTTTTGTGTCGTGCACTCTCAACACGAATGACACATCTACACAGAAAACAAACGCGTTGAGCCCTGAAGATGATCTCAATAAAGTTCGAAACGTTGGCACAATAAAGGAAGTGTTTTTATAAAACCGACGTCACACCAGACCGCATCACACGGTCTCCGAATAATCATTGACTAACGGCTAGTAAACACCACACATTTTATTTTTTTCTTATTATTCGTCAAGGAACTCTTCACCGACTGGACGGTACACCAAATTACGAAACTGTTTTAAACCCTGCAAAAACTTTGATCTAGCCAATCGATCTCAATTAAATTTAACACATAATCAAAAACATACATAAACAATTTTAAAAAACTCTTCTTTTATTTTCCGCAGATATTATTAATAATGTGTGGTGATTAGTGACCGTTAGTCGATGATTATTCAGAAATCATGAGATGCGGTCTGGTGTGACGTAGGTTTTAGAAAAACATTTTCTTTGTTGTCCCAACGTTTCGATCTTTATTGAGAACATCTTCCGGGCTCGATGAGTTTGTTTTCTGTGTAGATGTGTCATTATTCGGTGGCGTGTTGAGAGTGCCACACCTACATAGAAAACAAACACTTTAAGTCCTGAAGATGATCTCAATAAAGCTCGGAACGTTGGAACAATAAAGAAAATGTTTTTCTAAAACCTACGTCAACCAGACCGCATCTCACGGTATCCAAATAATCATTAACTAACGGTCATTAAACACCACACACACGTTAGAGTTAAAGTTATTTATTACCACTAAAGTAACATTGCCATGAGTCTTTCTACTCGACCATGTCTGATTACAGAATAAATTTACCTAATTTATTTTTAATATTATTTGTTTTAAACTGGACTGTTATTTTGACGTAACATAAAGATAGATTTATTTAGTTTTTTTATTGCCATTTATTTTATTATTCAGATTAAGTTAGTCTAGAGATTTTAAACCTAGAAAAAGTCTTCACAACATTTCACAACTAGTGTAATAGTTTAACGTGAATTTGAATCTTCGAGCACTTCCAGAGTCATTTGGCTGTCTGTCCAAATTATCGATGTTAGGCTGGATGTGTGTCGAGGAGCATGTTCTATTGTGTCCTTTAGCCACAGTACTGGCTTAGCAATAGCCAGAAGTTCTGCATGATTACTACATTGTTTTGATAATTTAAACCTTGTGTATGAATAGATAGGGTATTTTCTTGTTACACAAACACACCACATCTAACTTAAAAATCATACTTCCATCTGTACAGATCTCATAATAAGCATCTCCTTTCTCGTTTCATTAGAAATAAATTTCTCAGCAGCCAACGATGGGTTGATCTAGAGACTGGTTTGAATCCTGATTACATATTTTCAATAATGTGAACTCGCAGCTATCAAACCATCCCTATCGACTAACGTACCACTGAAAATGCCAAAACGCGTCTGAAGAAGAAAACGATAGGACTACATACCGATTAATTTTGTTTTCATTTCAGGAAGAAAGGAACACAAATAATTCAATCCCAAACCAACAAACATTTATACAATACAATTTTCTGTCGTTTTCGACGTATATTTTAAGCATTATTTTATTTCAATAGTACCTTTACACCATGAGATCAGAATTACAATCAAATATTGTTTAGAAAACATGTCGAACAATCATTTCCTTAATTGTTATCGGGTTGTCCGGAAAATAATGCAGGATTTTAAGTTTTCATTAAAAAAAATCTATATAAAATATTCTGTTTACGTTTACAGGATTACTCATTTGTATGAATGTCAACACTTATTAATCCTCTTCCAAATGATATTGTTTGTTTACCTCTGTAGCATTCCGCTACTTGGAAATAATTCAGTCATCCTTATAATGTCAAAGCGAGAATTTCGTACGATTTTCTTTTACGAGTTTAAACTCGGCCGAAGCGGAGCCCAAACGGCTAGAAACATTAACCAAGTCTGGGGCGAGGGTTGTGTTAATGAGTGCACTGTGCAAAGGTGGTTTAAAAAATTTCGGGAGGGAGATTTCAGCCTTGAAGATGAAGAAGGTCGTGGAAGGCCTTCCTCTCTTAATGATGATGTTCTGCGATCAGTGGTGGAAGAAAACCCCAAAACAACTGTTCGAGAACTTGCAGAGCAACTCAAAGTCAGTAAAACGACCGTCGCTGACCACCTCAAGGCGATTGGAAAAGTGAAAAAACTCGAAAATTGGGTTCCACACTCATTAAACGATCGCCAAAAAATCAGCGCTTTGATGTTTGTGCATCACTTCTTTGTCGAAACAAAAATGACCCATTTCTGGCCAGAATTGTTACATGTGACGAAAAGTGGATTCTCTACGATAACACTAGACGTTCTGGACAGTGGCTCGACAAAGGAGAAGCTCCAAAGCCCCCAACTCATCAAAAAAAGGTAATGGTTACGGTATGGTGGGCTTCATTTGGTTTAATACACTACAGCTTCTTAAATCCTGGCGAAACCATCAATGCTGAATCATACTGTAACCAAATTAATACCATGCATCAGAAATTGGCAGTAATGAAGCCCTCTTTGGTCAATCGGAAAGGGCCCATTTTGTTGCATGACAACGCTCGACCACATGTGTCACGTGTAACGTCACAAAAATTATTGGAGCTTGGCTATGAAACTTTGCCTCACCCACCCTACTCTCCGGACCTCTCGCCTACTGACTACCATTTTTTTAGACACCTGGACCACTACTTAGAACACATAATATTCAAAAATCAAACGGAACTGGAAAATGCATTTATTGACTTTATCAATTCTAAAAATTCTGAATTCTACTCAGACGGAATTAATAAGTTACCAACACGTTGGGAGAAATGTATTGAGAGTATGGGAAATTATTTTGATTAAAGAACATTGCTTTAAAGTAACTAGTTTCTTTTTTTTTGTTTAATACCAAAATCCTGCATTATTTTCCGGACAACCCAATACAAAAGGTCATTTTCGACTCGTTTTATTTATATTATTAATTGCACAATAATAAATCTGTAGATCGTGAGATGCGGTCTGGTGTGACGTAGGTTTTAGAAAAACATTTTCTTTATCGTTCCAACGTTTCGATCTTTATTGAGATCATCTTCAGGGCCTGGGATGAAAAAATGAATTTATACAATGCTAGAAATTTTAGACTCAAAGTATTTGTACCTACGTCACACCAGACCGCATCTCACGATCTCTAAATAATCATCAACCAACGGTCACCACACAATCATAAATGTTTTTGATTTTTATCTACCACGTTTTTGAGAATTATTTAGAGGGGAAAATAAGTGACCGTTGATTTATAAATATAGAGAAAAATATCTAGTAAAAATAAACTCGGGCCCATCTATTTTCAACTAATTGGCCTTATGTTTTCCATTAGGCATTCATTAGGCAATAAACACAGATTGTGCCGAAACAGCAAGTTTAAAAAAATGTTAAACCCGTTAAGTTGAGAATGTACTAAATTGCACTAATAAAAAAAAACTCTTTACCGGACAATAAAATAAGTAAAAAAGCAAAAACCACCCCTTTACAATATGAATAATAGACTTTTCGACTTGAGAGTGTTTTTAATCCATTTTCTTGTGTTATAACTGTCAGCATTTTATCTTAAAAAAAAATTCGACTTTTCAGAAAGCTAGGGAAACAACCCAAACTAACTCTGAAAAATAAACTCATTTTTTATTATTTTGAGACCTATTTGGACTTAAAGCATCAAACATTAGCGTCCAACCAAATATTCCAACCTCCAACTTATCGAGTCGTTCCAATCCTAAATCCTGCACAATCGTCAATGTTCCTTTCTATGTACCTAGACTTATTATTCATAGCA